TCCCAATTTCAACATATAAAAATAAATAGAGGACTACAAACCCCAATTTCAATTCAATACATAAAACAATAAAACACAAGGAGAGCTACAAGCCCCATAAATTTTTTAAAACTTTTTAGTGGGGGTAAATGTCTATTAAATTCTAAATTTTTTAAAATTATACTTACACCCCATACTTTTTAAAAATTTCAGTAGGGGCAACTGCCCCTAGATATTTTTTGATCACATTTTTAAGCTACATGGAATGGCAAAAATCATAGTTTGTGATCGGGATCCTCTTTTTACTAGCTTATTCTGGAAGGCATTGTTCAAACTAAATGAGGTTAAATTTAATTTTAGCTCTGCTTATCACCCGCAAATGAATGGACAAATAGAGGTTGTTAATCGTACAATTGAGATATATTTGCATTGATTTACTAATTCTAAGCCCAAGGAGTGGGTAATGTGGCTGTCATTGGATAGAATATTGTTATCATTCCAGATTTCATTCTTCCATTAGTCAGACCCCATTTGAAGTTGTGTATGGACATGAACCACCCAATCTATTAAGCTATGTTTAGGGCACTTCGCAAATAGAATCTATTGAGAAATTTTTGTTGGAAAGAGATAATTTGAAGGAGGCACATTAGAGGATGAAAAGGATTTATGATGGCAAGCGGACTGATAGCACGTTTGACGAAGGAGAATGGGTCTATCTAAAATTACGTCTGTATCGCCAAATGACCGTAGCATAGAGGAAGAATCAAGGATTGGCCTCTACCCGTCCCCGACGCATTTCGACCCCTTTAAGGTTATCAAAAAAATAGGTAAGGTGGCTTACAAATTGGAGCTGCCAGAAGATTCAAAAATTCATCTTGTTTTTCATGTTTCCTCTTTGAAACAAAATTGGGCCCTGTAGCTTTGTTAACGCCTAATTTACTAGGATATTTGGAAACAAGTGAGGAGGTTTTTCATTTTCCTAATGCTTTGTTTGGTAGGAAGGATGAAAAATATGAGTAATACACTTTTTATCCTTCAATGAAAGAAAGTAGAAATGATACATTTTCAATGAAAAAAAATAGAAATGATACACTTTCTTTCTTTTGTATTTGGTAGGCTGGATGAAAAATAAAAATAATTAATTTTTTTTTTTGTTTGCTAAGATTAAAAGTGACAATCAAGTCGTGTTGAGTCATTGCAGGTTCGTATCGAATATTAGTCAAACTTAACTCAACTCATTTAACTAATCGTGTCGTGTCGAATCAAGTTGACATGTTTATTTTTGTTTCGTGTTCGTATTGACCCAAATAAATTTTGAATAAAAAATTTAACTCTAATATTCTATTTTCACTTAATTAAATTCATGCTCATATTTTTTCTACAAACTAAAAATTAACTTAAATAAATATAATAATGATAATAAGTAAAAATATCTTTTTTATATAATAATTATGTTAGTATTTAATAAATAGTCACAAATAATTAATATTTTATGTCTATAATATTAGATAAATATGTTAATTTCGTGTTACCAAATAAACGAAAAAATAAAGAAAGTGTTTATTCTTAAATAAACGGATTGATGGTGTTAATTTTGGATTTGACTGGTTGAACTAAATATGAGCTGTATCGAGTTATAATTAAATTTGTATCATAAAATTCGTGTCGAGTTCGAGTCATGTCATCGTGTTGAGTCACAAATTTCCACCCTTAGCTAAGATGGACAAAATATTTTTTTTAATTTTTAATTTTTAAAATTTTTAAATTTTTTATTTTTAAATTTAAAAAAATATATAAATACATATTTTATTATTATATTTATATATGAAATTCATGTATCCACTTTCCTTCTGATTTTAGAGAGATTGATTTTTGTGAGTTAGAAGAAAAATTCATTTACCTATTTTTTCATTGTTCTTACTTTTTTACCAAATATAATATTTTATTTATCTCTTTAACTTTTTATTTTTTTATTTTTTAGCGTACCAAACGGAAAAAGACCACCGAACTAATAAGGATGGGCAGCAAATTTTAATTCATTGGGAAGGGTTGTCTCCAACCGAAGTTGACCTGGGAGGATTTGGAGGAGTTCAAGGGGGGAGAGTTGTTACGAGACTTAACGATTAAGCATGGGTGCAGAGTAATTAGGGGCAGCTGGGCTGGCTAAGGAGATTGTTTTAAAAATTAGTGGGGCCCTTGTGCTGGCCTGTGCTTGCTTTCCACGAAGTTTCTTTTTTTCTTCTTCTACCATCCAGTCAACGTTTCCTAGATACCACAACCCATTGTCAACAAAACGAGTGTGTCTCACACATTTCTTCATCTTTGGTTTTTCGATCTGCGAAGATCTTGCAGAGAGAGAGGAATAAGGAGGTTTTACCAGGTGAGCATCTTTTCTCAGAGAGACAGATAGAGGAGCAAGGAAGTTTAGCAGGTGAGTTTCTTTTCTATCTACTCTGCCCTTCTTTTCATTTTTGATCTTTTTGGTTTGATAAAAACTATGATCTTTTTGGTAGTTGTATATGTGAATTGTCATACTCATGGTAGAATCATGCTAATCATAGAAAGTATGATGAAATTGCATTTGTTGCATAATTGGTTGTATTTACCTCCTCTAACTATTTTTTGTGCATGTGCTAAGATTTCGATCCTCTTAATTTCAAGTCTTGTTAATTTTTAATCATATTTAATGATCTACCATTAAATTAATTGAGATTTTATGTAAAAGCATAGTTAGCAACTAATAACCATATTTGGAAGTACAACATGAGAGATGTGATATTTGAGGGGGCAATTTGAAATCAGTAATAATAGTTAAAGGTACAATGAGATAAACTTGATAGTTGAGGGGACAATATGACACATGGGCATAATTGAGGGGTCAAAATGTACGTGTAAAGCAAAATTTTGGAACCCTTCAAATTATTTCTGGTGAGTTGCTCCTTAAAGGTCTAATTCTTTTGGGTGAAAATAGAATAGCAACTAATGTTGCATTATAATAATGCTAGACTGATCAAATTTTGAGATTAAATTTGGAGCTCAAATAACATGACAGTTGATTATTTGAAGTTTTTATTGGGGCCCAAATAACATTACACCAATCAAAAAAGTCCAAGTCAATTGTCATGTCATTTGGACTCCAAATTTGGTCCAAAAATTTGGTCAGTCTAATATTACTGGTTGCATTATGATACTATACTTTCCTTCAAATATTAATGCTATCTCTTATGTTCAAAGGTAAAAATGATATCTTTAAGCCAAGCAAAGAGTAAAACATCAGTTCATAAGATTTAAAATAGCCAATTGTGAACCTTTTTTTTTTTTTTTATAATTGTGAACCATAAAGACTTGTTTAGTTCATTAGTTTGACCTCTTTTATGGCTTGTTAGAGATTCTTGATTCAGGGTTTCTGTCATATACTTGTCTTCTCATGACAAGCTTTTCATTGTATTATGGAACAGGTAATTAATTTACTTGTTAAGCGAATATGCAATCCAACGAGGGAGTGGACGAGGTTTGTGTTAGTATTGGTGAAAAGTTTAATCGTCTCTCTCCGTTACAATCTAAGTGTTGTATTTTTAGAGTTCATGACCAATTACGCAATGTGAATGAAAAGGCTTATGAACCAGAGATTATTGCAGTTGGTCCTTATCATCGTAGTAAAATTACACTACAGGTGATGAATAAACACAAGTTGCACTATTTTCAATTACTTCTTCAACGAAAAAACGAGACTATGAAGAAATATGTGGATGCTATGAGGTTATTAGAAGAAGATACTCGTAAATGTTATGGAGAACTCATAGGCGTGAACGAAAATGAATTGGTTGAAATGATGGTACTGGATGGTTGCTTCATCGTTGAATTGATCCGAAAGTTTGAGCATATTCACTTGAGAGACAAGCATGATCNTTTTTTTTTTGTTTGCTAAGATTAAAAGTGACAATCAAGTCGTGTTGAGTCATTGCAGGTTCGTATCGAATATTAGTCAAACTTAACTCAACTCATTTAACTAATCGTGTCGTGTCGAATCAAGTTGACATGTTTATTTTTGTTTCGTGTTCGTATTGACCCAAATAAATTTTGAATAAAAAATTTAACTCTAATATTCTATTTTCACTTAATTAAATTCATGCTCATATTTTTTCTACAAACTAAAAATTAACTTAAATAAATATAATAATGATAATAAGTAAAAATATCTTTTTTATATAATAATTATGTTAGTATTTAATAAATAGTCACAAATAATTAATATTTTATGTCTATAATATTAGATAAATATGTTAATTTCGTGTTACCATATAAACGAAAAAATAAAGAAAGTGTTTATTCTTAAATAAACGGATTGATGGTGTTAATTTTGGATTTGACTGGTTGAACTAAATATGAGCTGTATCGAGTTATAATTAAATTTGTATCATAAAATTCGTGTCGAGTTCGAGTCATGTCATCGTGTTGAGTCACAAATTTCCACCCTTAGCTAAGATGGACAAAATATTTTTTTTAATTTTTAATTTTTAAAATTTTTAAATTTTTTATTTTTAAATTTAAAAAAATATATAAATACATATTTTATTATTATATTTATATATGAAATTCATGTATCCACTTTCCTTCTGATTTTAGAGAGATTGATTTTTGTGAGTTAGAAGAAAAATTCATTTACCTATTTTTTCATTGTTCTTACTTTTTTACCAAATATAATATTTTATTTATCTCTTTAACTTTTTATTTTTTTATTTTTTAGCGTACCAAACGGAAAAAGACCACCGAACCTATAAGGATGGGCAGCAAATTTTAATTCATTGGGAAGGGTTGTCTCCAACCGAAGTTGACCTGGGAGGATTTGGAGGAGTTCAAGGGGGGAGAGTTGTTACGAGACTTAACGATTAAGCATGGGTGCAGAGTAATTAGGGGCAGCTGGGCTGGCTAAGGAGATTGTTTTAAAAATTAGTGGGGCCCTTGTGCTGGCCTGTGCTTGCTTTCCACGAAGTTTCTTTTTTTCTTCTTCTACCATCCAGTCAACGTTTCCTAGATACCACAACCCATTGTCAACAAAACGAGTGTGTCTCACACATTTCTTCATCTTTGGTTTTTCGATCTGCGAAGATCTTGCAGAGAGAGAGGAATAAGGAGGTTTTACCAGGTGAGCATCTTTTCTCAGAGAGACAGATAGAGGAGCAAGGAAGTTTAGCAGGTGAGTTTCTTTTCTATCTACTCTGCCCTTCTTTTCATTTTTGATCTTTTTGGTTTGATAAAAACTATGATCTTTTTGGTAGTTGTATATGTGAATTGTCATACTCATGGTAGAATCATGCTAATCATAGAAAGTATGATGAAATTGCATTTGTTGCATAATTGGTTGTATTTACCTCCTCTAACTATTTTTTGTGCATGTGCTAAGATTTCGATCCTCTTAATTTCAAGTCTTGTTAATTTTTAATCATATTTAATGATCTACCATTAAATTAATTGAGATTTTATGTAAAAGCATAGTTAGCAACTAATAACCATATTTGGAAGTACAACATGAGAGATGTGATATTTGAGGGGGCAATTTGAAATCAGTAATAATAGTTAAAGGTACAATGAGATAAACTTGATAGTTGAGGGGACAATATGACACATGGGCATAATTGAGGGGTCAAAATGTACGTGTAAAGCAAAATTTTGGAACCCTTCAAATTATTTCTGGTGAGTTGCTCCTTAAAGGTCTAATTCTTTTGGGTGAAAATAGAATAGCAACTAATGTTGCATTATAATAATGCTAGACTGATCAAATTTTGAGATTAAATTTGGAGCTCAAATAACATGACAGTTGATTATTTGAAGTTTTTATTGGGGCCCAAATAACATTACACCAATCAAAAAAGTCCAAGTCAATTGTCATGTCATTTGGACTCCAAATTTGGTCCAAAAATTTGGTCAGTCTAATATTACTGGTTGCATTATGATACTATACTTTCCTTCAAATATTAATGCTATCTCTTATGTTCAAAGGTAAAAATGATATCTTTAAGCCAAGCAAAGAGTAAAACATCAGTTCATAAGATTTAAAATAGCCAATTGTGAACCTTTTTTTTTTTTTTTATAATTGTGAACCATAAAGACTTGTTTAGTTCATTAGTTTGACCTCTTTTATGGCTTGTTAGAGATTCTTGATTCAGGGTTTCTGTCATATACTTGTCTTCTCATGACAAGCTTTTCATTGTATTATGGAACAGGTAATTAATTTACTTGTTAAGCGAATATGCAATCCAACGAGGGAGTGGACGAGGTTTGTGTTAGTATTGGTGAAAAGTTTAATCGTCTCTCTCCGTTACAATCTAAGTGTTGTATTTTTAGAGTTCATGACCAATTACGCAATGTGAATGAAAAGGCTTATGAACCAGAGATTATTGCAGTTGGTCCTTATCATCGTAGTAAAATTACACTACAGGTGATGAATAAACACAAGTTGCACTATTTTCAATTACTTCTTCAACGAAAAAACGAGACTATGAAGAAATATGTGGATGCTATGAGGTTATTAGAAGAAGATACTCGTAAATGTTATGGAGAACTCATAGGCGTGAACGAAAATGAATTGGTTGAAATGATGGTACTGGATGGTTGCTTCATCGTTGAATTGATCCGAAAGTTTGAGCATATTCACTTGAGAGACAAGCATGATCCTATTTTTGGAATGGACTGGATTGTTAACAGCTTGCAACGTGACTTGATGTTGTTCGAAAACCAGCTTCCATTCTTTGTTCTTTGCAAGTTGTTCGACATGATTGAAGTTCCAAACCATCATCACAGGTTCATTTATCTGGCCTTGCGTTTTTTCCGCGATCTTCTACCAGGTGTAGGACATAGAAAAAGTTTTGAAGGAAGTTCACCAGAAAATATTAAGCATTTGCTCGGGTTAATACACAATAACTGGCTTCCTTCATTTGCAGGAAACGACACAAGTGAAAATTTCATGGCCCACAAAAAAAAATGGCAGTTCATTCATTGTGCAACAGAGCTTAGAGAGGCAGGTATTCAGTTTGTGAAGAATGAAAAATGTAGTTTGTTTGATATCAAGTTTGATAATGGAGTTATGCAAATACATCCTTTGATAATCGAAGACAGAACAGAAACGTTCTTCAGAAATCTCATTGCATACGAGCAGTATGGTCAAGATACAGATTTCAGATATGTCACCGACTATGTGATATTCCTGGATAACCTCATCGACTCTCCAAAAGATGTTGACATACTTTGTCGCCGGGGAATTATTGATAATTGGTTAGGTGATGGTGAAGTGGTTTCCAACATATTTAACAAGATTACTGATGCTGTCACAACGCCAAACAACCACTTTCATTATGCTGAAATCTTCACTAAAGTGAACATTCATTGCAATAAACGCGTGAACCGATGGATGGCCAAATTGAGGCGAAACTATTTTAATAGTCCTTGGGGAGTTATTTCAATTGCTGCTGCCATCATACTACTTTTACTCACTGCCACACAGACTTTATTTACTGTTGTTCCTAAATGGGCATCAGCTAGGAATTAGCTAATGGGTAGTACTGTTTTTCCTCAGTTGTGACTCTGGGATTCAGTCTGTCCATTGCCTCCTTAGTTTCTTCCCTCTTGCCACTTTCCTCCCTCTTATGAAAAATACATCGTAATTACATTTATCTATAGTTTTATTTAGGGTTGAATTTTAGATTTGATCTGTACATATTGTAGATACATTAGTTTAGAATTTATTTGTTTGTTTTCATATTTGGACCTACTGTGATAGGCATATGCATTCTGGGCTTATTGTAATGGTAACTCACCAATTGTTATTATATATTTGAATTTGAAATCAAACTTGGAATTGTTTTCTACCTTTTCATTTTTTTTTTAATAATTTTTTTAAAAAATTTTCTACAATAGAAAAATAAACAGTGAGAATTGAAATGTTAGTCTCAAGTAAAGTAAAATCCAACTCCTTCTCAAAGTCATTGGTGAAGTTGAAGAATTGAAATTAAAATCGAGCAATTGAACCATTTTACAACTGAAATTAAAATTGAATTTTTTACAGACAAAACTAAAGTTGATATCAAATTTAATGTAATTTAAGTTGAAATTTTCAAGAATATAAGAACCGACTAGAGCTTCTCCTACCAGAAGAAGATTCGAAAGTGACAAACAAATGGAGTACATGGGGGAGTGTGTGCAAGCTATCAAGAGAAATAAGCACGAGTATTATGAATATCATGTAATAAATTATTTTTTTTTGGGTAAAATAAGGCATAAGCTAAAAGTTACACAGTACGGGGGAGGCTTCCTTCTTTGCAAGGATATTCGCACACCTATTGGCTTCCCTCGGTTCTTATTTGAGTAGCACCTCTTGCCATCTACAGTCATTGAGCAAAGTGTTGTGTGGGTGGTCCTCAGTATGAGGGTTGTTGATAAGTTCTATCACTATTTGAGCATCCACTTAGACCTCCTCCAACTTTGAGGGGCAGTTTTGGAGGGCTAATTGTAGACCCATTCTTAGCGCCCACAATTCTGCTCCCAAACTCATAGTTATGCCAATGTTTGCATAGAAGCAAACCATTACCTGTGCATCTGAATTTCTGCATAGTCCCCCTACGCCTGCTTGGCTTGGGTTTCCTTGGGCCGCTCTGTCCACATTGAGTTTAAACTATCTAGTATTCGTTATTTCCAGCCTATAAAAGTTTGAGTTTTGAAGGGCCTAGTGCAATTAGGGGCGAGGGTGTGAACTTCGTAGGCATGGCTTATTGCTTAATCAATTGTTAGATTAATTGGATGTTAAAAAAAATATTATTTTATTAAATATTCAATAATTGTACCTATATTTTATCACAAAATCATTCAAGTACAATTCCATTTCATTATTTATGTGAGAAATGTGAAAATGCAATTTTCTTAAATTTAAAGCCTACTAGTGTTTGAACCAGTCACGATTAATAAATATCCATAACATTTAGACTTTAGAAAGCAACTATGAGTTATGATAATGAAAAAATTGGCATTAGCTGGACACGTGGACACGAGCTTAGCTTGTGAGCTTTGCAGCTTGGTAAGTGAAATTTGGGAGAAAAACAACCCTTTATTTCATTCATTAACATGGTATATATACAATCTTAATAGAATAAGATAAACTAATTACAGGCAAGACCCTTTAACTAAGAGCTAATTACAACATACTCAACACTCCCCCTCAAGTGGGTGCATAGATATCACATATGCCCAACTTGTCAACAAATTTGGAAAACAATTTATTTGACACAGCTTTGGTCCGGAGATCCGCCAGTTGATCCTCAAATCGAATCTTGGGTAACTCGATAATTTTTGCTTCCAACTTTTCCTGGATAAAAAATTTGTCAACCTCCACATGTTTTGTTCTGTCATGTTGGACTGGATTACGGGCGATATCACAGACATCCTTGTTGTCACAGTACACTTGAATCGATTGTTTTGGTGGATACCCCAAATCCTCTAAAAGTTGTCTCAGCCATAGTACTTCACAAATACCGAGGGCCATACCTCGATATTCGGCTTCTACACTTGAACGAGCAACAACAATCTACTTCTTACTTCTCCAAGTAACAAGATTACCTCCTACAAAGGTGAAATAACCAGAGGTGGATTGCCTGTCATCAATGGACCCAGCCCAATCAACATCCGTATATGTTTCAACTTTGTGACAATCAGTACTCTTGGAAAACAATATTCCTTTTCCAGGGGGCAGACTTCAAGTACCTCAAGATTCGCATCACTGCCCTCATGTGTTGTTCTCCAGGATTATGCATAAATTGGCTAATACTCAGCGCGTAGGTAGGATTTGGCCTTGTGTGTGCCAGGTACATTAATCTCCCTACAAGTCTCTGGTATCTTCCTTTATCAACTGGAACTTGATTAGAAACAATACATAACTTCAACCCTTCTTCCACCGGAGTATCTGCGGGTTCACATGCTGACATTCCAGTTTCCTTCAACAAATCTAGGATATATTTTCTTTGAGACAGAAAAATTCCTCGACCAGATCGAGAAACTTCTATCCCAAGAAAATATTTCAATGAACCAAGATCTTCCATTTAAAATTCTTTGAACAAGTAATTCTGTAGAGCCTCTCTTTCCTCATGATCATTTCCTGTAACCACCATATCATCCACATATACAATGAATGCAGTAATCTTATCCTTTTGTTGTTTCAAAACCAAAGTATGATCTGCATTGCTCTGTTTGTATCCAAATTCTTTCATGGAATTTGTAAATCTTCCAAACCAGGCTCTAGGGGACTGTTTCAATCCATACAATGACTTCTTCAAGCTACATACTTTCCTCTCATGTTTTCCTTGCATAAGACATCCAGGTGGGAGATCCATATAAATTTCCTCCGTCAAGTCACAATACAGGAAAACATTCTTCACATCAAACTGTTGTAATGGCCAATCTAAATTCACAGCTAGAGATCCAAGTGGGAGATCCATATAAATTTCCTCCGTCAAGTCACAATACAGGAAAACATTCTTCACATCAAACTGTTGTAATGGCCAATCTAAATTCACAACTAGAGACAACAAAACACGAACAGTATTGATCTTGGCCACAGGTGCAAAAGTATCCATATAATCAATACTATATGTTTAAGTGTATCCCTTCGCCACCAGTCGAGCTTTGAATCGTTCGATGGTACCATCAGCTTTATACTTAACGGTATAGATTCATCGACACCCAACTGGCTTCTTTTCGGACGAGATATCAACAAGCTCCCATGTTTTGTTCTTTTACAAGGACTTCATTTCTTCATTCATCGCTACTTTTCAATTTGGATCAGCAAGGGCCTCCTGCACACTTTCAAGAATAGATACAACAGATAATTGATTCACAAATGACTTATTTGATTCAACCAAGCGATGGGTGGACACATACTGACTCATGGGATACTTCACCTTACTAGTAAGTTCAGGTTCATACACAGGTTTAGGAATACCTTTATTACTACGAGGGGGATTTCTTCTAAGAGAGTTTGGAATAGACTCGGGGACATCCTCAGGGAGTGATTGGTTATGTGTGTCGGGTTGCAGTGAGGGAGGCTCAAACAATGATGTCGTTTCAATAACAGAAGGGTCTTCCACACTACTTGAATCCAAACTGCTCACACATGTATCCACATCTTCAGATACTTCAGCATAATCATAATTCAGAATTTCATAATTATAAGAATCATAAATCTGAGTCTGAGTCTGAGTTTGAACTTCTGTCTGGTGATGCACCCCCTGAAGATCAAACTGAAGTGAAAAATACATCTTATCTTCATGAAAAACCACATCCAAAGTAATATGCATGACTTTTGTGGGAGGATAACATCGATACCCTTTCTGATGAGATGCATACCCTAAGAAAACACACCGCAATGCTCTAGGCTCTAATTTTCTCTGTTGATGTTTATGAAGGTGGACAAACACAACACACCCAAAAACACGAGGTTGCAAATTAGGGACAGTGGGAGCATTGGTAGCATCCTGTAAAGCTTGAAACAGTGTCTGAAATTTAACAGTGCTGAATGGAACACGATTAATGAGGTATGCATCTGAGGAAAGGGCATCACCCCAATAGGACACAGGCATATGAGCTTCAATCAAGGAAGCACAAACAACTTCCAACAAGTGCCGATTTTTTCTCTCTGCCACTTCATTTTGTTGGGGTGTGGAAGTACACGTGGTTTGATGAACAATGTCCTGTGTAGTCAAATAATGTTGAAGTTCAGACTACATATACTCTCCGCCATTATCACTACGAAGAACTTGAACCTGTGCTTTGTATTGAGTCTAAATCATGGTATGGAATTTCAGGAACAACAAATTCACCTCCTTTTTATACTTCATTAAGCATACCCAAGTCATCCTAGTACAATCATCAATAAATGTGACAAACCAACGTGATCCATTCATGGTAATAACCGGAGATGGACCCCAAACATTAGAATAAATATGTATAAAAGGAATGAGACTTTTATTTAAAGTTACTGGGAAGGAAACACAGTGACTTTTCGCAAGTTCAAACACTTCACAACGGAAAACATAAATATCAACTTTGGAAAATAAACTAGGAAACAACTTCTTCAAATAACCAAATGAGGCATGTCCTAAACATCGGTGCCACAACCAAATTTCAGTTTTTTTCTTCTCCCCTACAAAACTATCCCCTACCAATGCCTTGCTTAGCTTGTCATAACTCTTTGACACAAGATCCAGGTAGTACAGCTTCCCTCGCCTAACACCATAACCAATCGTTTGTCTCGTTCGGATGTCCTTAAAAACACAGAAATCAGGCCAAAAAGTCACAACACAGTGTAAGGTCAAGGTTATTTAAGCAACTGATAATAAATTATATTCCAAGGATGGGACAACTAGAACAGACTCCAAGTTTAAAGTATCTATAAGTGACACAGCCCCTTCTCCAATAACTGGAGCGGAGGCACCATTAGCAGTTGACACACATTTCTGGGAAGATTGGCTTAAGGATAAAATCTGGTTAGAATCAAATGTCATA